GGACATGTCAGTTATGGATTTGGTGAAAGTTGTCTGAGTTTTAAATCTGTTTTTTAGATTTACCTCTTTATTGAACAGTAGCTTTCCCTTCACATGTGTAATAAAAATATTGCCTGTAACACTTAAAACAAGCGCCATCCATCAAACAAAATGCTTTATTACTAAATTACCTGCTTCCTTAGCCATTTCAGGATAATCAACACTCTCCTCATTAGGCTTTGAAAACTGACAAGAGAAAATGAAGAAAAACAAGCTGAGAATAAATCACAGTGAGATTTAATTCACATTTTGCTCAAACGAGTATATTTAAAAGCTTTATATTTAATTTAGAAATAAGTTTGAAATAATGCAAACAATGTAATTTCATCAGCCCAAAAAGTGCATGTACAAAATCTTTACAATTCCCAAGTGCTGCTGCCAGACCCTGCAATGGCTTAAAAAAAAAAAAAAGTGCAATTTCATGGGAGCTGAGGGGAATTTCTGGTCAGTGTTAAAGAAGACCCATGACTATGGAGATGGACAACAAACCTGTCCAAAGCCTGTAGATGGAACAGAGAATAACAGCAATCTTCACCAATTCATTGTAACACGTGACATAATATTCATTGAAGCTTTGATTAATACTTCCCTTCTACTTCATTTTTTTTTTGTTACACTCCTATTTGTAACAAGAAAATGTTTTCTCTTTGTAGAGAATTTATCACACCTTACTCTTCACCACTGGAGTAGAGGTGGCATTTCTATTTCATTTACAGTGTGACTCACTAGAGACCACCACAAGTACATGTGGTTTGCATTCTACATCAGTAACAGAAAGTGTCACTGCTAAAAGAAATCCTCATGTTAACTACTTATAGTCCCACAAATTATTTGATGACACCTGTCATAGCATATAGAAGTCAATTTGCTGCCTCCTTCTGCATATCTCCCTGACTCCAGACATTTGTAGCACTTAGCAGTCCCTTACCACTTCCTGCAGTGCCCCCTTTTGTTAATTTAGACAGAGAACCTATACAGCAAAGGTTGTAAGAAAAAACAGTTGGTGAGCTGATCATTGTAGAAGTCTGTGAGCTGGATTGATAGTGCTTGTGCTAACAGAGAGGAGAAAAGAGTACTGACAACTCCTCAGGTCATGCTCAATTGGTGACTGAGATGATTCACTTTTGAAAATGCAGAGCACTGGGGAACTGACAGTTACACACATAGAAAACTGTGGACTGTTATTGTGAAAAGATATAACAAACTTTAGCAGTCATTACATCCTTAATGTTAATCAAAGAGGAGCAATACAGTCCCAGAAGGTTTCATTGCAAAATACTTAAGATGTAATATGGACTCTGACAGGTTTTACTTGTCTCTTCCATGAGGACATCACAAGTGAGCTCAATAACTTCTATTACTACATTCTGTGATCTAGTCCAATAAACATAATTAACAGAATTGTCTTTAACCTTTCAATTCCTCCCCTATCCCATCACATGCTGGAGAAATACCCATGCAGCAAAAAGACAAAAAGTTATTATTTAAAAGGTGGCTGGGGGAGGAGTTTCTGACTATTCTGGAAAATAGCCAAGTTGTCTTCAGATTCATGTATCAAGACAAAAATTGTTCTTTTACTGTTCCTCTTTGAAAATCATAAAATCATTTAGGCTGGAAGAGACCTTTAAGATTAAGTCAAACTATTACCCCAGCACTGCCAAATTCAGCACTAGCTCACGCTCCTAAGTGAAAACATCTTCGTGTCTTTGAAGCCCCCCAGGGATGATGGTTCCATCACTACCGTGGGCTGCCTGCTCCTGGGTTTGACAGGCCTTTTGGTGAAGGAATTTTACTTAATCCCAATTCTAACCTTAAACATGCCTTGTGGAAATTTGAGGCCAACTCCTCTTTCCCCGTTACCTGGGAGAAGAGCCCCACGCCCACCCGGCTACCACCTGCTCCCGGGGAGCTGTGGAGCTGAGCGGGGCGAACCGTGCGCTCACAGCCCAAGGGCCAGGAACAGAAACGCCGCAGGACAGACCGTGCAGGGCCCTGACCTCCCTGAGCCCCTGCCCCGGGACGGGCCCTGGGCCAGCGGCTGCAGGGATACGGGGACACTGTGCCCGCTGCAAGGCTGTTGTATCGACCTGTTCTGTGAAGCACCACGTTCACCTTGGCCGGGGTCCGGCCTCCCCCACACCCCGAGCGAGGGTGAACTTTGCGCGGAGCCGCTGCCGCCGGGCCGGGACCGGGCTCTGCCAGCGCGCTCCTG